CATCAGAAAGGATGAATATCCAACTTTTACATCAACATGGGATGGGACTGGAGGAGATGATGCTAAGTGAAATAAGTGAAGCAGAGAAAGTCAATTATCATATGGTTTCACTTATTTGTGGAACATAAGGAATAGCATGGAGGCCATTAGGAGAAGGAAGGGAAAAATGAAGGGGGGCGGAATTCAGAGGAAGAGATGAACCATGAGAGACTATGGACTCTGAGAAACAAACAGGGTTTTAGAGGGGAGGGGGATTGGTTAGCCCCGTGATGGGTATTAAGGAGGGCACGTACTGCATGGAGCACTGGGTGTTATACCAAAACAATGGATCGTGGATCACCACATCAAAAACTAATGATGTATTGTATAGTGACTAACATAACATAATAAAATTTAAAAAAAAATAAATGTTAACTGTAGTTTTTTTTGGTAAATGTTCTTTATCATGTTGAGGAAGGTTCCTCTCTATTCCTATTTTTCTGAGAGTTTATATCATGAATGAATGTTGGATTTTATCAAATGCCTTTCCTGCATCAATTTACATGACTTATGTAGTTTTTCTTCTTTAGCTTATTAATACATTGGCTTACACTTATTGATTTTTGAATCTGAACCAGCCTTGTATCTTTGGAAAAAAATCTCATTTGGTTATGATACGTAATTCTTTTAATATATTGCTGAATTTTATTTGCTAATATTTTGTCAAGGATTTTTTCATTTATATTCATAAGGGATATTGATCTGTAGTTTTCTTTTTTGTACTGTCATCGTCTTATTTTTCTATTAAGGTAATTCTAGTTTTATAAAATGTATTGAGAAATGTTCCTTCCTTTTCTATTTTCTATCTTTCTAGGCTGCCTCCCTCCTGCACCTTGGGCTAGTGAAAGTAGGCTTTTCTTGAGGCTTTTTATCGGTGTGAATTGGTATGAATTCTTTCTCAAAAGTTTGATAGAATTTTACAGTGAAATCATATGGGCCTGGAGATTCTTTGAGGCAGAATACTTAATTACTAGTTCAATTTCCTTAGTGGCTACAGAGCTAGTCACATTATCCATTTTATAGTGGGTGAGTTGTGATAGCTTATTTTTCAAAGATTTGGTCCATCTCATCTAAGTTGTCCAGTTTATGTGTGTAGAGTTATTCATCGTAATCCTCTATTATTTCTTTGATGTCTGCAGGCTTGATAGTGATATCCCCTATTTCATTCCCGAAAATGGTAATTTATCTGTCCTTTTTTTTTTCCTGGTTAGTCTTGCTGGAGCTTTATCAGTTTTTAAATCTTTTCAAAAAGCCACTTCATTATTGCTGGGCTTTCTCTGGACAGCACTCCAACTGAGGTGTTGGGGCACTTTGTTGCAGCTTTATCACGGTCTAAGTCTAATCTCCCCATTAGGCTTTTGCGTGGGGGTGAGGCCATAGTTTTACTTGTGATGTTTGGCTGAAGTAAAGCAGTGATTGTATAAAAGTTTTCTATCTTTCTAGGCTGCCTCTCTCCTGGCCATTTGGCTAGTGAAAGCTTTTATTTCTGTGCCTGTTAAAATTTCTTAAGCTTCAAGTCCAGCATATATGAGGCAAAAAGAAAACCCAGGAAACTCACTGCAGTGTAGTTCCTTTGATCCAACGGCCTTTACCCATCTTTTTCTCTCCACATTTCAGTCTTTTTATGTTTATTTTATAATGTTCAAGGTTTTTATTGCACTGAATGGGAATAGGTAAAAGTGCATCTATTCAATCTTCTTGGAAGAAGAAACCCCATTAGCCCCATTTTAAGTTATTTTTAAGATATGTTTTGTTATTTTGTTTTTAAATTAAAAACTTGAATTTGAGGGGCACCTGGGTGGCTCAGTCTTTAAGCGTCTGCCTTCGGCTCAGGTCATGATCCCAGGGTCCTGGGAACAAACCCCCCAGTCCAGCTCCCTGCTCAGCAGGAAGCCTGCTTCTCTCTCTCTCACTCCCCTTGCCTGTGTTCCTTCTCTCGCTGTGTCTCTCTCTGTCAAATAAATAAATAAAATCTTTAAAAAAAAGCAACCTGAATTTGATAAAATGCCTTTTTAGCCTCTATTGATATAATGTGCTTTCCTGTTTGTATCTACAAATATTGAGGAGAATATAAACAGCTTCAATTAAACTTCTCTGGGGATTGTTATGTAGCTGTTTACCCCTATCCCCAAGCATACAGCAAAGGTTTAGACTCAAGCGACTAGAGGGGCCTGGCAGGTAAAGTTAATGAGAAAAGAGTGCTTGTTGGGGTTTTTGCAAGATGATGAGGAATAGTGGGTGCTGGAGTCAGAGGGGCAACATGTGACTTGTCAATAGGGAGAAAATGCTACTCACCTTCATTTGAAAGCTTCCACACAGAAATGGGTGACTACTGCTTCCTGATCTTTATTTTATGTTCCAGAGAGACCAGAAATGAGAATTTCTATGGAAAATGTTGCAATTTTTAAATGTTGGCATCTAATTCATGAATATTGTTAAACAATGTGTAGGTCAGACTAAACATAGTATGGACCGGATTCAGTAAAAGGGCTACCATTTTGTAACTTCTGACACAGGGATACTAATGCCAAAATAAGGCTTCCTTTCCTCTTAAGCTGGAAAAAAAAATGCCTAGAAGGAACATAAAGAGGACTTAAATGCTGAGTGTGTTCTTTATAAAGGGACATAGCATATTTCCCCCCTCCAACTCTGGGCCAAACTCCTAAGGACATGGGAAATGAAACTCCAGATTGTTTGGGGGGATTCAAATGCAGAGATCTGTGTTCCTCCTTTCCTAGAGCTCAGTACTGTGATGAGACTCGAGAATTTGTTTGGCTCAGAGTGATGTAGGTGTTTCATGTCATGTCTTGGCAGATCGAACTGAGATTGCCTCACTTAGGGGTTAGGAGTGTACCTGAGTTTATCTTGTTGCAACAGCACACAATGACAGAATCAATTTCTAGGAACCCAAGAGGGTCACAGAAGTTGAAACTCAGCTGCATTGAAGGGATCTTTTAGTTGGGAATGAAGGATTACACATGAAGTTTTGTGGAGGTTCATAAAAGAATGTGGCTTCAGTTATAAAATCAGTTACATTTCTTTGACCTCATGGGTTCATAGACCAAAAATTGTACCCTCTATACTATCTTTTCTAATATAAATTCTATCATAGCCTAGGTTTGACATGTAGTTATTATTTTCCAAATCATTTTTTCATTACAACTTCAATTATGGTTACCTCCCCAATCCCAGGTTTTATTTAGAATTTAAAAGTACCTTTTCTACTTTATAGAACTTTAGTTGCTTTTCAGATTTTTAAAAATAGATATCAGCATTTGAAACTGAACATTTTTATATCTGTGACAACACATTTTTTTCAGAAACTCCTAAATATAAATATGATTTTCCTATCTATGAAAATGGGTATTTTTTAAATTGTCAAAGTCCCAATCAGTGTTTAATGCTAACGTTTATACTTTTCTTAGATTTTAAAAAATATGTAAGTCCAAACTTTGCCATATGTTTATGTCCACCATTTGCTGCAAGGGTTTTTTGTTTGTTTCTCATTGTTCTCTCTCTGTCTCAAAGCTACTTATATACATTATACACATTTTTTGGTTTATTTTCATTAAACTGTACACTCTAGGTAGGGCCAGATAGAGATGTCTTTCAACTTTATTTGAAATCTAATGAAACCCTCTTACACTGTTGGTGGGAATGCAAGTTGGTACAGCCACTTTGGAAAACAGTGTGGAGGTGCCTCAAAAAATTAAAAATAGTTACCCTATGACCCAGCAATTGCACTACCGGGTATTTAACACAAAGACACAGATGTAGTGAAAAGAAAGGCCATATGCACCCCAATGTTCATAGCAACAATGTCTTCAATAGCCAAACTGTGGAAAAAGCCAAGAGGCCCTTCAACAGATGAATGGATAAAGAAGATGTGGTCCATATATACAATGGAATATGACTCAGCCATCAGAAAGGATGAATACCCAACTTTTACATCAACATGGATGGGACTGGAGGAGATTATGCTAAGTGAAATAAGTCAAGCAGAGAAAGTCAATTATCATATGGTTTCACTTATTTGTGGAACATCAGGAATAACATGGAGGACATTAGGAGAAGGAAGGGAAAAATGAAGGGGGGGAATTGGAGGGAGAGACGAACCATGAGAGACTATGGACTCTGAGAAACAAACTGAGGGTTCTAGAGGGGAGGGGGTTGGGGGTATGGGTTAGCCCAGTGATGGGTATTAAGGAGGGCACGTACTGCATGGAGCACTGGGTGTTATACGAAAACAATGAATCGTGGATCACTACATCAAAAACTAAATATGGTGACTAACATAATAAAATTCAATTAAAATAAACAAATAAACAAAAGCTAATGAGATCGGATAATTCAAAACGGTCAATATGTAATAAAGTTAAAATTACTTTGACAAGGTCATAGACATTTTCAGAATGAGCTTTATTTATCAACGAATCTCTGAGGAAATTTCACTTCCTCAGGGCACCTTGTGTATCTAAGACAGAACTACACGTCCCCTCCCCAGCTTATTCTATCCTTTTACCTGGTGTTCTTTTTTCTCTATAGCAAGTTATCTTCACTGACACTCTGTATTATTTGTTAATAGATTCTAGGCCTGTGTTCCCAAACATGATCTTATTTGTTCACTGATATATCCCCAATTCCTCCAGTAGTGGCTGGCACACAGTAGCTGCTAATTAAATGTTAAATCAAAGTACAAAGAACCAAAAATTACTTAATGTCTAGAATGACTGTCCAATAATCAGATTCACCAGTGGCGCAGAAACACATTAATGACATCTAAAAGTGAACAATTTCTTTTGAGATTTTTTTTTCCAGCCCTTTCCTCCTTCAACATGGTAATTGAAGTTCACTGGCCTGGGAGTAGCCTCCATCTATCAACTTTTGGTCAGTGAAGAGGTTTCAGAGAAAATAACACAATTAACAATCAGCAAAAGGAGGGGGAGGACAAAGGGGAAAAACTAAGTGGTAGCCTCAATGGGGCAATCCCGGGCCAGATGTCCCGACTCGCCACAGCGGTAGCAGTTGACTTCACTCGTTTTGCTGCAGTTGATGGCCATGTGGCCGGTCTCGCCACACCGGTAACACCTGACTTGGGTGCAGTCTTTCTGAATGTGGCCATATTCACCGCAAGAGTAACACTTGGGCTCTTCCTGACGGTCACAATCACGAGCCAGGTGGCCTGGTTTGCCACAAGTGTAACAGCACTGCTCTCTCTCTCTCTTCGGCTTAATACAGTCTTTAGCGATGTGGCCACTTCTCCCACAGTTGTAGCAGATGTCCTGGAGAAGGTCACAATTCTTAGCATGATGGCCAGACTCACCACAGCGGTAACAGATGTCAGGTAGGTTGGTGGAACTGCACGGAGAACCTCTACCACGGCCTCTGGCTCCGCGCCCTCGACTCCCTCCTGCTCTAGGGCATCCCCGGGCCCAGTGGCCAGACCGTCCACACTTGAAACATTCGTTACTGCTCATGGCGGAGGTGAGATCTTAGGGTGAGCCGGCCCACCACTGCCCCGAAGGTTCCGACGCAACTCCCCTTAGGAAGGCTCAGAAACAAGTGGCCGTTTTTCTCTAGGGGCCTCAGCAACGTCACACAAGGTTTGCGCACGGCCCCAATTATGCGTCAGAGGCTTTCCAGCTGCCCTTCCCCCGCCCCGCCTCAACTTTCCTGCTATCCTTGAGGTCAAAAGCATGGCTGAGTGTTGGTGTTTTCTGTTTTTGTTTTTGTTTTTGTTTTTTTAAATAAACACTTGGATCTTTAGGTTTGTTTGAATCCTTCCCTGTTCAGAAAATATACCCTGTAAGATTTCTTATAAATAAGAATTATAACTGCGATCTAGTAGATGATGTTTTTACATACGTCCTATGGACATAGGAAAAACATGTATGAGAGGTATCTAATCCGGTAAATGAAAGAAACAAATCATAGCAAATTAGACCAACCTCCTTTGTTTTAAAAAATAAAATACAAATGTTCATAAAGATATAAGCTACATAAAGTAGAAAAAAAAAGTCTTTAAAATGCCACAGTGACAGGCGTCTGGGTGGTTCAGTTAAGCTTCGGCCTTCGGCTCAGGTCATAATCCCGGGGTTTTAGGATGGAGCCCCACATCGGGCTTCCTGCTCAGCGGGAAGCCTGCTTCTCCCTCTCCCACTCCCCTTGCTTGTGTTCCCTCTCTGGCTGTGTCTCTCTCTGTCAAATAAATAAATAAAATCTTTAAAAAAATAATAAAATAATAAAATAAAATAAAATGCCACAGTGAGGGACGCCTGGGTGGCTCAGACAGTTAAGCATCTGCCTTAGGCTCAGGTCACGATCACAGGGTTCCTGGGTGGAGCCCTCAGTCCAGCTCCCTGCTCAGTTGGGAATCTGCTTCTCCCTCTGCCTCTCCCCCTGCCTGGTGCTCTCTCCCTCTCTCTCTCAAATAAATAAATAAAATCTTAAAAAAAATAAATAAAATGCCACAGTGATACTTAAACAATCTTGCATATTTTATCAAAGGAGTCCTAGTTTTCAACATAATCGGCACCGTTTAAGTTATAAAACGTAACAGGATTGAAGCAGTCAGTATAAAGAACACATTATCACTTGGAAAATAAATTACAAAACCGCAATTTAAATATTGGGCACATTTCCTCTCTGTTGTTTTCCAAATTGTTTATATCTTATATAAACTGCATAAAGATTTATGGACATGTTCATTTATATAGATACACAAGTAAGTATGGAATACTAGACACTGAAATATCAACCATAGCTATTTTGGGTTTATATGATTGAATACAATTTTTTTTCTCCTTATTTTCCTTCTCTGTACTTTACAACTTTTGAAATGAGTTTAGGTTATTAGTAATTTTATTTTATTTTATTTTTAAATTTTATTTATTTGTCAGAGAAAGCAAGAGAGCACAAGCAGGGGGAACAGTAGAGGGAGAGGGAGAAGCAGGCTCCCCACTGAGCAGGGAGCCTGATTTGGGGCTCGATCCCAGGACCTTGGGATCATGACCTGAGCTGAAGGCAGATGCTTAATCATCTGAGCCACCCAGGCACCCTGGTTATTGGTAATTTTAAAAACTCACAATAAATATTTTTCTTTAAGTTACTAGTTAACTATACGTTTAGCGTATGATTTTTTTTCCGGCAGGCAATACAAACATACTTGGTAAAACACAGACATAAGAATAATATATGTAGCCGTTGGTCTTTACTTTCAATATGACTTGATTGGAATGTGCAACTGGTTCCATAAATGCAATGACAAAGAAAACTATTTTCAAAAATTAATAAAAGTTTAGAGCCAAAGAGCATGAGCAGTTGCCATATATACAGTAATGAAATGAGTTTTATTCCTAAACAATTAAATGATGCTGCATAAATGGTTTCAAAAGGCAAAAAATCTCTGTGGTTCAAAATTTGATATATATTAAATTAACCTTATTAATTATCACATGTATATTTCCCTTTAGGTTTATACTTTTATTAAAGTAATACATGCCGATAGTTTAAAGTACTGATTTTCAAACAGCTTTAATGGAGGCATGAAGTAAGATATGCATTTTACATCACAATAGAGGATACATGTGTATGTGTTATAACTCAAACACATTTAAGAAAAAAAGTTTACCTTTAATGTGTGCAATGCATTTTGATGTTTTATTTTAGATATTAAAAGAATAATTTATTTATGCCAATAAATTTGATAACCTAATAAAATGGACAAATTTCTTATAAAACACAACCTACCATAACTGATACAACTAGAAAATCTAACAAGTTCTCTATCCATTAATTTCTTTAATTTAGAAACTTCCAATAAATGTAAAATAGAGCCCACCTAAAAATTAGGATCATATAATAATGTAAGCTACACACTGGAATGTTTAAAAGGTGCATATGGCAAAAGGGAACATAAAATGATGAAGTAACTATGAAATTTATATGTGTATATCTGTATACCTTAGATTCATTATACCACCAGCTCTATTTTCTAGCCTAGGACTGTTGGGGAAGACAAGGGGAAAGAGAAAATTAATATTCATTTGAGATGTACTGTACACTAGACACTATGGCATAAATTTTGAATGAGGAGGGCAAATGATTTCTTTTTTCTTAGATTTTATTTATTTATTTGAGAAAGAGAGACAGAGATAGCAAGAGAGAGCATGAGTGGGGAGTAGAGGGAGAAGCAGACTCCCTGCTGAGCAGGGAGCCCGAAGCAGGGCTCCATCCCAAGACCCTGAGATCTAGACCTGAGCTGAAGGCAGATGCTTAACCGACTGAGTCACCTGGGGACCCCAGGAGGGCAAATGATTTCTTAGCGCTGTGAATTGGGCAAATGATTTCTATAAGGGAATACATTCTTTCCTGTTTTTCTTGAGACTGGAGATCCTGGAAATGTAATTCAGTTTGATATACAGGAAGACAACATGAAATTTTGAAGATAGGTGATGAATTTGTGAGTCCCTGCAACTCTTTTTGTTCCCCCTTCAGGCAAAGACCCTAGTTTTATTCTTTTCTTTTTCAAGTTTTTATTAACTTCCGGTTAGTTAACAGTGTAGTATTAGTTTCAGGTGTAGAATTTAGTGACTCATCACTTACATGCAACACCCAGTGCTCATCACCACAAGCGCCCTCCTTAATACTCATCACCTGTTTAACCTGTCCCCTTGGCCCACCTCCCCTCCAGTAACTCTCAGCTTGTTCTGTATAGTTAAGAGTCTTTTTCCTGGTTTGCCTCTTTTTCCCACCTATGTTCATCTGTTTTGTTTCTTAAATTTTACATATGAGTGAAATCATATGGTATTTGTCTTTCTCTGACTGACCAATTTCGCTTAGCATAAGACTTTCTATCTCCATCCACATCATTGCAAATGGCAGGATTTCATTCTTCTTTATGGCTGAGTAATATTCCAGTCTGGAATATTTACGTATACACACACACACACACACACATCTTCTGCATGTGGAATATTTATATATTGGAATATTTTTATAGACCACCTCTTCTTTATCCATTCATCAGTTGATGGACATCTGGGCTCTTTCCATAATTTGGCTATGACGTTTTCTATTCATGTTGTAATAAATGCTGGTGGTGGCCTATTAAATTGATCTCTCAAATACATTAAATGATTTCAACTCACAGTTTAAAACACACTGATTTAAAGAGTTATAACTAGGGGCGCCTGGGTGGCTCAGGCGTTAAGCGTCTGCCTTCGGCTCAAGTCATGATCCCAGGGTCCTGGGATCGAGCCCTGCATCGGGCTCCCTGCTCCACAGGAGGCCTGCTTCTCCCTCCTGCACTCCCCCTGCTTGTGTTCCCTCTCTCACTTTGTCTCTCTCTGTCAAATAAATAAAATCTTAAAAAAATTAAAAAATAAAGAGTCATAACTATAAATCATGCTTATGAGTTCTTGATGTTTCAGTTTGGGATGTTTTAATTGATCTGTGATTTTCCATTTCAGAGAATGAACGTTTAGCCCTCCCTTACCTATACCATCTTTGGGGCCACCTCATACATTTACACATTTCAAATTCTCCACCCCAACCCGCCCCCCTGCCCCTGCTTCACCTTTCTCCTAATATTGGTTGGGTCGCTATCCAACATTTACATAATTATAACCCATGTAAATGCCACATATGGCTGAGCCATGAATACTCTGATCAGTTTTCACTGCCTGCACAGCTTTTTGTCGCCTGGAGTTAGTTATTGTCATTCTTCATTTCCTTAGTTTCTCATATACTTACCTCAATTCTATTTCATATATCTATACAGCTACTTTTATACCAGTACCATACAGTTTTCCTTACTGTAGTCTGGTATTTTGTTTTGAAATTGGTAAGAGGCCTCCAACTTTTCCCTTCTTTTCCAAAATATTTTGACTATTCTGAGTTTCTTGCATTTCCATATGAATTTTAGTATCAATTTGTCAATTTCTGCAAAAGAGACAACTAATATTTTGATACATATTGTGGAACCTGTAGATAGATTTGGAGATATTATCTTAACAATATTAAGTAATCCAATACATGAGCACAGGATGCTGTTCCATTTATTTAGATTTTTATTTTCACTCAACAATGTTTTGTAGTTTTCAGTGTATAAGTCTCACACATCTTTTGTTAATTTTTTTCTAAGTATTTCATTCTTTTGATGCTATTTTAAATGGAATTATTTTCCTAATTTCATTTTTGGGTTGTTCATTGTTAGTATATAAAAATACAATTATTTATGTATACTGATCTTTTATCCTGCAACCTTGCTAAATTGAACTGATTTATAGTCCCAGTAGTTTTTTTAGTGGATTCCTTAAGATTCTATAGACAAGATTACGTCAAACTATGGAGATAGTTTGAATTCTTCCTTTCCAATCTGGATGCCTTTTATTTAATTTTCTTGCCGAATTGCCCTGAATAGAACTTTCAGTACAATGTTGAATAGAAGTAGTGAAAGTGGACATCCTTGTCTTGTTCCTGATCTTAGGGGGAAAGCTTTGTCTTTAAGATC